TGTTTGTTTGAGACAGAGTCTCGCTCTGTCACCGAGGCTGGAGTGCAGTGGTGTGATCTCAGCTCACTGCAAGCTCCACCTCCTGGGTTCATGCCATTCTCCTGCCTCAGCCTCCCAAGTAGCTGGGACTACAGGCGCCCGCCACCACGCCCAGCTAATTTTTTATATTTTAGTGGAGATGGGGTTTCATCGTGTTAGCCAGGATGGTCTCGATCTCCTGACCTCGTGATCCACCCGCCTTGGCCTCCCAAAGTGCTGGGAATACAGGCGTTAGCCACCGTACCTGGCCTAGAATATATTATTTTTAAACGATCTGAGAGAGTATTTTTGAAACTTAAAGGCTTAATTTTTTCTCACTTAAATTCGTTTAGCAAATTCTGTAACAAATGTAGTACCCACTTCACTAAGAAGTTTCTTTAGGAAAACATTTTTTTATATATATAACGACATACCTTACATTCATACCATTTATACAACAACAACTCTGGACTTTCCATTGCCATTGATTTGGTAATTGATTATCCAATAAAAGATTATATTCCTAAGCACATTTCATTTCAAAAATCTATGAAGTATATACAACATGGGACCTTAATGAGGTCAGAGATTGATATAAAAACTGTAATTCCAGGTATCACCGCAAAGAGAGAGAAGGATTCTCAATGAACTACTTCTTTTAAGAAACTTAGGCCGGGCGCGGTGGCTCAAGCCTGTAATCCCAGCACTTTGGGAGGCCGAGACGGGCGGATCACGAGGTCAGGAGATCGAGACCATCCTGGCTAACACGGTGAAACCCCGTCTTTACTAAAAAATACAAAAAAGTAGCCGGGCAAGGTGGCGGGCGCCTGTAGTCCCAGCTACTCGGGAGGCTGAGGCAGGAGAATGGCGTGAACCCGGGAGGCGGAGCTTGCAGTGAGCTGAGATCCGGCCACTGCACTCCAGCCTGGGCCACAGAGCGAGACTCTGTCTCAAAAAAAAAAAAAAAAAAAAAGAAACTTAAGCTTACTGACTTTCAGTGATGATAATGCCATGTTATTATAAGGAAAACACAGTTGATGTAATTCCTTTACTATGCTTTATAATCCTTTCAAAAATACACTACGGAAGAGTTTAAGTATCCAAACTTCTGTAGAAAGCAGCAGCTTTATATGCCATGAGCAGAGGAAAGATAGCAATAAGAAGGGTGTCATCTGCTCACCACAGACAAGGGGAAGCCAATAGCTTCCTGCTGCTGCCTTTCAGGAAGGAAAGTAAAACAGCAACTGCCTCAACCAAAATGACCAGCTAATTATACACTTCCATTGATCCTCTAAATCAAAACCAAGTTTAGGATTTATGTCACAAATGAAAGATAAAAAGTGCAATATCCTCAATGTGAGACAAGGTTCTAAGTATGCAACATTCTTTTAAAGATGGCAATGATGTCCTAATTACCAAATCCAAAAAACAGCCTTTCCTGGTTATTATTCTCACTGGTCTCTCTACCAAACATGGTATGTTGGTGGGCATATGGAGATGCCAGAACTGATCATAAGACTACCCTCAAATAATGAGACCATAAATTATAAACTCAGAAGAGATGGCCAATGTTGCTTACAGAAATAGAACTCTTGATCCAGCAAGACTAAATTATAACCCAGTGAAAAATGTTAGGTAATATATTTAAAGAGAGAACACTTTCAGAAGATAGGATTGAGCCACAGTGGAAGCACAGAGGCAAACACTGGTGATGCCTAATTTAGCGCTAATTAGAAAAATGACTTTAAAAACAACCATCCTTCTGAAAAGGTATTTTATCTCAAGTTACACTGAGAGAGAAGCGATGCTTTAAAATTATCCAAATCCCTAATTTCTGATTTTTTGCTCTTTTGTAATAAAGTTTGCCATGGAGTGCTCTACCTAAATGAACAAGACATGCCAGTAAAGCTGACATACACATACTAAATTAGTTTGTTGTTATTGCTGTTGTAAAGTAAAAAATTCAGTTTCCTTAAGACTACTGTCAGAGAAATTGATGTATACTCCAAATCAGGAAACAGAAGCTCAAAGAGGTTCAGTAGCTTGCCCGGGTCATTTCTGTAAGTAAATGATAGAGCTAGGATGGGAACCCAGATTGGTCTGACTCTAAAGCATGAACTCTTCTTTCCTTTACACCAAGGATGTAAGAAATCTGTTAGTACTTGAAACAATTACTTTTTAGAAAGCTGGAAAATAATTCTTGCTAAAGCTTTGACAAAAACAATTCGTAATTCCTCTAATTCAGATAATACTTTGATTTATGAATACACAAATTCAAGTGAATACACATACATACACAAAAATAACATAACTAAGCCTAGACTGAACCCCCCTGCCACTCTTTCTTCTAAATATTTACCAGGACATGAAAGAAAAATAGGTTAAAATTTGTAAAAACATTAAGTAGGATATTATCAGTTCATTTTCCACTGTGCTGAAAGAAACACCAACCTTATTGATGGCACATGCGGTCTTCTCCCGGCTGGTGCCACTACTTGTCCTAATGATCTTGGATAGATCTTCACGAGCAGCAAGTAGATGTGCCATTGTAACTGTTGTCTTGGGTGACAAAGCATAACGTTTAGGCTGATAAATTCTTGCTATATCATCTGTTTTTACCTAAATGACAAAAGGTAAGGAAAAAAGGAAGAAAAATACATTTTAATGAAAGAGCAAAAACAATCATAACCCTTAGAAAGAAAGAAAAAGAGATAAAGAATAAGCAAGGAATTAGAAAAGAGCAAAAACACCCACATATCTGATAATTTAGGAATAATTTAGAACAAATAAAATAGACCAACAAGTGTTAAAAATATGTAACTACCAGCAACAACTAAAAAATAACAAAAAAATTCTATTCATATTAACAAAAAAAATAACTAAAAAATAGTTTTACCAAAACCACATACAGGACCTTCAAAAGGGAACATCAGTAAATCTTGCAAACAAAAGGCAAACTTGTACAAATGGTAAGAAACACCAAGTTTCTGTATTGGGACATTAAGTATTATTGTCAGTTTTCCTCAGAATTAACTTATAATCCTACAGAAATAGTTTTTGAGAGAATGAAAACAAAAAAAGAATCTAAAGTTAAATCCAAAAACTCAATATGTAAGAATAACTAAAAGCATTTTGAAAAATAATCCTACCAAATATTAATATGCTATAATACAAAATTATCATCTTAACAGTTAACATTTAATGAGCACTTATTAAACGTGCCAGAATGCTGTTCACTTAGTAAGGCATTATTTCTTTAATCCTCAAAATATCCTTTTAGAGTGGCTGGTTTTTATTATGCCCTTTTGCAGATAGGAAAAAAAAATGAGGCACAGAAAGCTTAAGTTAGTTCTCCAAAATATAGAGAGAATCCTAGCTCTGCCCACTTACTAACAAAGGCCCACCTGACCCGCAAGCACAGGTCTAGTATAGATAACAGTTTGCTATCCTACCTCCATCTAATTAACTAGAACTTGGGAGGAAAAAAAAAAGGTGGATGAAATAGTATATTGAGACTCAGAGCCTCATAAATCTATGAATGCAATAAATGATAAAGGAGACATCACAGATCAACGAGAAAATGAAAGGATTATCTCTTAAATGGTGCTGGAATGACCTGGTGGCTATCTGTAATAACAATAATATGGCACACCATATAACAAAGGGAATTCCAAAGAGAATAAAACGTTAACTGAGGTTTAATTTTAAATTTAGAAACAATTACATTACAAAAATTAAAATTTCTATACTTCAAAAGACATAAAACAACATCTACTGACAACTGGGGAAAATATTTTCAACAAATAATTCAACCAGCAAACATCCTTTATATATAAAAAGCTCAAACAAAAGGAAAACAGAATTGTACAGGAAAAAAAAATGGCAAGACATATAAATAAAAGTTTTAAAAAAAGGAAATTCAAATGACTAATAAGCTTATGAAAAAAGTTCAACTTTGTCAATAATAAGAACAGACAAAACAAGTTAGTCTTTTTAACCACCAAGTTAGCAATAAAGAGGCTAAAGTGAGACAACATTTCATTTACCTTACTGACAGGATTTTAAATTCATATAAACTTAACTGGAAAACAATTTGGCCATGGGAAGCGAGAGCATTAAGAGACATAACCTTTGACACAGTAAATTTCCTTTAGGAATCCACCATAAAATTTTACTTTGAAATTTATATATAAAAAATTATACATAGAAACATGCCTGGTATTGTTAATATAGAAAAAAAATGTATAAAATAAGAGAATTAAGTAAATTACTGAATCACTGTGATAAAACATAATGCAGCCATAAGAAGGACACTGAAAGAAATTTAGTACTGTTATATGCTACGACATGGATGAACCTTGGAAACATTATGCTACATCAAAGAAACCAGAAGCAGAAGCCACATATTGTATGATTCTGTTTATATGAAATGTTCAAAGGCAAATCAACAGAAACATAAAGTATAGTATAGTAATAGTTGCCAGGGCATGGAGGTAGGGAGTATTGGGAATGACTGCTGAGAGGTAGCTATGTCATTTTGGGATGATGGAAGTGTTATGGAATTACATATAGGGTTATAGAACACAGTGAACAGACTAAAAACCACTGAACTGTATACTTTGGTATATTTTGGCCAGGCACAGTGGCTCACTCCTGTAATCTCAGCATTTTGGGAGGCTGAAGTGGGAGGATCACTTGAGGTCAGGAGTATGAGACCAGCCTGGGCAACACGGCAAAACCCCGTCTCTATTAAAAAAAAAAAAAAAAAAAATTTTAATTAGCCAGGTGTGGTGGCACATGTCTGTAGTCCCAGCTGCTTGAGAGGCTGCAGTGGGAGGATCGCTTGACCCTCCAGTGAGCTGCAGTGAGCTATGATGATGGCACTGCACTGCAGCCTGGGCAACAAGACTATACCTCAAAAATAAAAATAAAATGGTAAATTTTATGTTAATTATATTGCAAAAAAATTAAAAATTAATTTCAAAAAGGGTACTAAAATAGAGTTTTTAGAGATATTGGAAAATGGTTACAATATATTTAGTGAAAAAGCATGCTATAAAATTACAATCACAGTATTATCTCGATACTAGCTAAACAGTAAAGAAACTACATAATCTTTCGAATAAATGACTATAATCTTTTTGAAGGGCAACTGTGGAGTATGCATCAACAGCCTTAAAATCATTTCCTTTAATCAAGGTATTTCACTTTTAGGAATACATCATGGACATGAACAAAAATTTAGCTGTCAAAGATTTTATTACAGGGTCAAAGAGGCAAAATCAGAGAAAACCTCAGTATCTATCAATACAGTATATATATGCATATAATAAAATATTGTGCAAAGATTTAAACTGCTGTAGAACAAAGTTGATAACGGTCACTCAACAATATCGGACACATTTTCCTATCATTAAAATAGGGAGAAAATGATAAAGATATAATAAATTTAACAAGTTTAACAAGAAAACTTAGTATACAAAGACATATAATCATATAATCAATTGAAAAAGACCAAATGAAAGGTCAAAACTGATCCATACATAGCCTAAGGAAAATATATTTTTAAAAACCTTCCCAAATAAGAAAAAAACAAAAACACAACCTCCTTGTCCTAAAACATGAAGAAGAAAGACCAAGATGAGACAATAAAATATCAAGATAGTTCCTAAAGGAATATTTGCTCAAAGTTCCCACTGAAGTCCAGTTAAGGGGTCAAACATGCCCATGAATCTATGTCACTGAATGTTGAAAGAATACGTCAAAACTCATTTGTTTTGGATTTCTCTGTAATCTTAATGCCAACATTGAAAATATCAAAGCACAGTAGGACAATTTTAATGCCACTACCATTCACAATTTGCCAAATATTCCTAAATTCCTTTTTCCTCAATAAAATTCTGTTAGGTTAAACTGGAGACCCAACATATATACAACCTCTATTAAGTTTCCAGAGCTCAGTAATGCTGGTGCTTCCCACACATCTGAACTCTATTCCATTTCTTGAGGTCAGCAATCATGTCATCTACTTCGTTGGTAACTTATAGCTCTTAACAGCATCTGAGCTTCTTGCACAAAGCAGTTACTCCAATGAAATACACAGACATCCCTTGGAGTTTATCCTGGCGCACATGCAGAAGTGAATCAGGCTTTAACCACCCAAGAAGCTGATTAGATATTACAGACACAAATCTTCTATACCTAATCATAGGCAGTATTGAGATGTTCATCCTGAACCAGGTACATAGTACATGACATATACAAAGTGGTGACTGTTTATTAAAGAAAATGCATGAATGATGATCTTTAATACCTCTTCTAATCACTCTTCACTTTTCTGTATCTGTCAGGTGTTTGGAAAGAGACTCTATGTAAAACACATGAGAGAGGATTTCTAGGTAAATGAGTCATACTGAAGACACTAAATTATAAAAGGTACATATATCCTAAATTATAAAAGGTACAGATAAAAAGGGAACCAACATTTCAAAACACTCAAAGTCTATTTGTAAAACAGTCCATGCCTCCAACCCCTGGTGACATGCTGCTACTCCTTTCCTGGACAAATTAAAATACAGTATATAGGGGAAAAAAAAAAAAGTGAGGTTTCTCTTCCTGAAAAAATGAGCAACTACAAAGACCACACGTTGGCATTAAGAATTGCCACAGCACATCGGCCAGCTCCAAAGTCTGACGTTAATGATCCCTAATAATGACTGTAGTTCCCAACAGGCTTTATCGTGCTTTACTCTTTTCTTTTTAAGAGACTGTGACTCGCTATGTTGATCAGGCTGGTTTTGAACTCCTGGCCTCAAGTAATCCTCCCAGCTCAACCTCCCAAAGTGTTGAGATTATACGTGTGAGCACAGCACCTGCCCTCCCACCCCAACTGCCTTTATTATTAGAGACAGAGTCTTGCTCTGTCGCCCAAGCTGTAGTGCAGTGGCATGATTATAGCTCACCGCAGCCTCAAACTCCTGGGCTCAAGTGATCCTCCCGCCCCAGCCTCCTGAGTAGCTGGGACTATAGGCACACACTACCATGGACAGCCGGTGCTTTACTCTTAAATATGGACAACCAAAAACCACTATGCAGCTGAAGAAGCCACCAACATGAGAGAGACCAAGAAAAACAACTAAATAAACAAAAAATTATGCTGGAGGAAACAGATAATTGAAAGTAGAAAAAAAAAATTACAAAAGCAAAGTTTCTTTACTCAAGATGATAGTATACCAAAAAATATTTTTAAAAAATCAAGAAACAAAAAGAATTTAAGGAAATTTTTAAAATAATTGCAGAAACAAAAATTCAACACAAACTATAAAATAAAGTTAAAAACATTTCTGAGAGTGAATCAAAAAAGGGAAAGAGAGGGAAAATGAGAGGAAAAAATAAAACAACTTAAGTGGGTCTATCTAGAATGTTTAATATCTGACTAAAGCATTTCAGAAAGAGAATAAAGAAAACAAAAGGGAAAAATAAATAAAGGAAAATATAAAAGCTGAAAGAGTCTACATATTGAAAGGTTCATCTAGTAAGGCACGATGAATGAAAAAAAAAACTCAGACCAACATATGTTTTGCAATTTCAGAACTCCAAGGATAAATAGTCCAAAAGCTTACAGAGAAAAATAATAGGTCACACAAAAACACAGAATGGAGTCAGTTTTCTTAACAGCAGCATTAAATAGTTGAAAACGATGATGCAATGCCTTCAATATTCTTAGAGAAATATATTTTCAACCTAGAATTTTATATTCAAATGTGAAAGCAGACTAAACATTTTCAAAATGCAAGAGATTGAGAAAAATCACCTCCTATGCACTCCTTGTTTGGAAATTACTTGTGGATTTCCTACAACAGAACAAGGGGATAAACAAAGAGTGGCCATGGGATCTAGAAGGTAGTAGAGCAGCCAAGGATAGCCATGCAAACAGCCCAAATTGCAATAAGTGGATGCAAGTTTCTCAGAGAAAAAGTATACAGAAAATGGAGAACTCGGCTGTGCGCAGTGGCTCACGCCTGTAATCCCAGCACTTTGGGAGGCCGAGGCGAGCGGATCACGAGGTCAGGAGATAAGACCATCCTGGCTAACATGGTGAAACTCCATCTCTGCTAAAACAAAATACAAAAAAATCAGCTGGGCGTGGTGGCAGGCGCCTGTGATCCCAGCTACTCGGGAGGCTGAGGCAGGAGAATGGTGTGAATCCGGGAGGCGGAGCTTGCAGTGAGCCGAGACCGCGCCACTGCACTCCAGCCTGGGCGACAGAGCAAGACTCCGTCTCAAGAAAAAAAAAAAACAAAATGGAGAACTCATTAGAAGACCTAATTTTTCAAACTACAGTTTAAAAAAAAAAAAAAAAAAAGCATTTTATCATATTGCAGAAATACAATGCAAGAAAAAATAAAATTCATTTAGAAGCCCCTTTGTAAGTTGATTAGTCCTCCAAAGATGTCCACATCCTAATTCCTGAAACCTGTGAATGTTACCTTGCAGATGCAGGTGTGATTAAGTTAAACATCTTGAGATGGAGAGGTTATTTTGTATTAGCTGTGTGGGCCTAATATAATCACAAGGGTCCTCATAAGGGAGAGACAGGAGTGTCAGGGACAGGAGAAGGCAATGTGACAATGGAAGCAGAGAGAGAGAGAAAGGCTGGAAGATTTTATTAGGCTACTGGCTCTGAAGAGAGGAGATGAAGCCAAGAGCTAAACTACGCAGGTGGCATTTAGGAGCTAGGAAATGCAAGGAAACAGATTCTCCCCTAAAGCATCTAGGATGAATGCAACCCTGCCAATACCTTCACTTCAGGACTGCTAATCTCCAAATTTTAAGAGAATAAATCTGTATTACTTAAGCTACTAAATTTGTGGTAAACTTTCACAGCAGCCACAGGAAACTAATACATCACATGGAAAGAGACATCATGTGAAAGACAAGGTAACAGAAGCACCATACTCATGAGAAGCTAATGCCTGATGATCTGAGGTGGAACAGTTTCATGACAAAACCCTCCCCCTGCCCCCCGACCCTCCGTGGAAAAACTGTTTTCCACGAAACCAGTCCCTGGTGCCAAAAAGTTTGGGAATTGCTGGCATAAGTGACCCCAACTGGTCTAACATGGGGCAGAAGAACTGCCCAGTTAATCCAAAAAATGTAAAAATAATAATACCTGAAATTCCACTTGCAGTCAAGGTAATCGGCACCAGATTTACTCTCCCACCTGAAACAACTAAAAAACTGGATAACCCACGTGATGTGAACCAATGATGGTCAGACAATGGACATCAAGGAACACAGGACAATGATCCCTAAGTGAGGAGAAGGCCTGTAATTGTCTCAGCTTACTGCCTGGAGAGTTTCCAGGTGATGATGCAGGGTGGGGAGAACGGGGGTGAGGAGTGATCCCAGACTAAGCATGGGTACAGATTAGAGGCATAAAATGGGAGTGATGGGACACAGCTCTTTAGAAAGCCATCTTAAGAGATTCAAATTTGGAAATGCCCTCACCTCCCAAACCCCTCCTCAACTGAAACACATTCTATATTCATCCAGCCTTAGGATACTTTTAAGACCTGTTGGCATCAGCACTACCTGCAACTATTCTTATATCCTGCTTTCTTGTTACATTGCTCACCATATCGATCTCGTTATCTCATATGATGCCCCTTCTTTTATGCATATCCTGGCATAAATCACAGTATCTATGAGTTTAAAATAAATGTCAAAACTGTGGGGAAAAAATAAGTTACATGCAACAGAGATTTATACAAGACCAGGATCATCTTGTAAGACCAGTAGTTGGCCTGGACATGTAGTTGAGATAGCGATGAAGTGCAAATATGGCATGGTTACATAACAGACAAGCAAGGCAGAAGAGCTGTTATAGGCTACCACCTACAGGACACATATGGGAAAACAGCCTTACCTTTGCTCTATCAGACCATCCAAAGGACTGTACAGTCACATCTAATCGTTTCATTAACATTCGCCGGCGGCACTCATATTCACAGGAAAGAGCATCATTTATTCTTTCAAGTTGTTCCTTAAAAATTTGGAGACAAAAATAATAAACTTTAGATTCTTTCATTCTGCAAAGAAAAGAAATCTGAAAACAGTGCTAAGTACTTCCTACTGAGTCAAAAGATATTGTACTTACTCACCATTTTCTGTTCCCATGAGACTTTACAGTAAATTATTTAAATACTAAAGCATAACCGAAAGAACATTTATGATATCCAGAAGACATTAAACATACAAATTAAATTCCACCTGTTGGCAGAGTAAACCTTATCTGTAATCAAATATGTTAATTTAAGTAAAACATTTACCTGCTAAGCACTCTGGACCAATACGAAAAGAAAATACCAATAACTCATCTTGCTGGCTTTGAGCCTCTGTTCTTTTCAGATCACAGCTGTGCTAGCACATTGAGCATTATAAATATTCTCAACCAGGTATTTTAAAAAATTAATTAGTAATTTAACTAAAGAAATGTTAGGAAATATTACTCCAGAAGATCAATCAATTTTAACTCTACAAAATAATATACACATACTATATGTTGCAAAATAGATGTTCATTTATAAAATTAAGTCATATTTACTAATTTAATTACATAAAATTAATAACAAAAAGGGGGATTTACCGCCTGTTCTGAAGTTAAATCAATTTTCAGCAGTGGTTTTCCCACATGATTTTTCTGGACCTTTGAGAGAATATCTTTCACCTAAAAGTAAATATGAAAGATTGTGAAAAATGTATATTCCTAATTTAAAACAATCTTATGCTTGTTTAAAGTATTGCTCTGAACACTACAGAATAGTAAAGTGACATAATTAAAATATACCATCACACACCAGAATACCACTACAAAACAGAGTATCTTTTTCAAAAAAGCACATTATATTTATTCAAGCTATAGAACACATTCTTTCCCAGCATAAGAATGAACATACCCAGACAGTTAAAGAAGTACCTAGGTTCTACTATGAGAATCTGTGTCTTAGTGAAATAACTTCAGAGTTCCTACTTAAGATAGCACTTTCCTACTTCCTAGTACATTTTCAAAAGGTATACTAAAACCTTTCACCAGCACATTGATTTTTCTCAAATAAATGCTATGTATACATTCCAGTTGTAAGTATTCTCATTCATTGTTCAGCAAGACAACATAAGGGAACAAGCCATCTATCTCAATTACGGTCATCATGTACATATTTTCATTACTTGTGCAAAGCCCCTAATTTAAATTACTTGAAACATTTTTATTTTGATAAACAAGATATTAGGCATTTACTTTTCCTTTAGCAATATCAGGGTCATTCAGTAATTTATCCTCCTAACCAAAGGATTAATTTACCTTCCTGACTGGAGAATCCATCATTAGCTAAAGAAAATATTTACAAAACCAAATGAAATATTTACAATTTTTTTCTAATCAAGGGTAGTTCAGATTTTGAGGAGCATGAAGCTTATTTAATGTTGGGGGCAATCTTTAAGGAAAGAATTCAAAATTAGCTTGGAGGCTGGAGTTGCAATGTGGAGTAACTGTAAATGGGCACAGTGGAGATTTCTTCTGAGGGTGATGGAAAAGCCCTAAATTAAAGAGTTTGGTGATGGTTGTTCAACTCTGTAAATATACGAAAATGCACTGAACTATATATATATATATACTCAAAATGGGCAAATTTTATGGCATGATTACATTTCAAAAATGGTGTTTTAAAAAATTAGCTTAGAAAGAACCTACGCAAATAAGAGACTCCAAAACTTCAGCTTCAGTAGCTTCACAGCAAATCTACATCTACAATGATACAATTTCTGTACTGATACATTTTTTACATATTTTAAAGAAATTATTATTTTCTTAAAACGGACCATTTCTGTAGATTCTCCAACTATTGTAAATATCTCCAATTTTAGGTTTTCTCATACATTATAAAAAGTATGAGTTGTAACTCCTCATTCCAGAGGAATCCTCAGTGTATACTTGTAGTTTGTCATGTGTAATCATATTCAGCTCCATTCCTAGGATTCCAGCATTACGTAATAGTTTTAATAAATCTGAAAAATCACTTGTTATAGAGTAAGTTAAGGGCACAGGCTGTGAAGGTTGACTACCTGGGTTTAAACCTCAGGTCTACCACTATTTAGAAATTCGCTTGTTTAACTTATTAAATCTTTCAGTACCTCAGTTTCCTCGCATGGTTGTCTAGGTAATACTACACAGGGGTGATGTATTACCCATAACCTTGGGTGATGTGAGAATTGAGTTATTACATATAAACATTTACTCACATGGGTGATGTTAGTATTAAGTGAGTTATTACATGTAAACATTTAGAAAAGTGAATGCTATATATTTGCTGTTATTATACCACCACTATGTATTTGTTGTAATTATACCACTATAATTACACATTTGAACAACTTTAAGTTAGAAAATAATACTTTCCTTCCCCAGTGATAACAAAGTGTCTTCTGGACAAATCACATGTAGAAGCAAGAAAACATGAAAACTTTTACTTTTGGTTAAAAACTGAATAGAGTAGGAAGACCTTTTAAGGAAGTATTTAGCCAAGATGGTCATAGTAACAACTACCTTATAATTAGTATGCCAGTATTTGAACCTAGGCATTACAGACTGCTTCCAAGTAGGGAAAGGAGGTAATTGAGAATGTTGTTAATACTAAATAAAACCCATAAAAAGGAATAGCCACTTTGAGAAACACTAGAAAATTATGATGAGCTCAGAAATCTGTCTAATTTGAAATAGTCTCAGAAAATTTAGTAAATCCCAGATCAGTCTTCATCCAGAGGAAAACAGAAAAAAATTCTGAAGAGTAACTTGTTAACTCTCTAAGAATGTTTTTGAGCTGAGATTCACAGACTTAGTCTCTGGTTTGCAAGTTCTACCAAAAAAAATTTTTTTAGTATTCTGTTTTTATCTTAATGACACTATAATTCTCTTACATTCATTAAGACAAACCTTATTTTTCAGTTCATAAATTATCAATGCAAAAGAGATCTTTACTGAACAAGGATTTAGTTTAAGGCACTGTGTCTAAAAATGGAGTTATGTACTTATTCTTGAAGGTTAGGCAAGAATTTTATTTTCCTTTAAAATGAATCCTGTATTATTCCCCTAGAGGACTGCATATTTAACAAACGAAACCCAGGAACTAGGCCAGAATTTGGTCTGTGAGAGTAGCATCCTCTCTAATATACGGCTTGACTGCGAACAAGAGTTGTTCACTAACTGGAAAAGAAAAAAAATGCCAAAGTACATAAGGTACATAGTTTGTAGTTGTTTTTAACTATCCCCATCAGGGTCCTAATTAATACATTCTTCCATTCATTATATAATGCATTTACTCTTACTAAACATTTATCCACCAAAAACTGTGCATGCTCACTGCTAAAGAAACCACACTGCAATTCTATTAACCTCCATTTTTTTAAAAGTTTACTCTCCTTTGACTTTGTAGGATAACTCTACTTCTTTCTTCCTTTTCTCTTTCTCTTCTCTCTCTCTCTTTCTTCCTTTCTTTCTTTCTTATACTACATTACAACCCTGGTTAGGAAAGTGATCCTTAACTTTGCTAAGTGATTTCTATCATGTTAAACTCTGGCAAAGATGAAGCATTAAGATTTGATTCCTGAATATTAGCTACTGACAAATTAGGTCACAGGCCTGTTAGGTCTGAATCCAAAACTGGGTTAACATGAAGATAAACTCTTGAAATAAAATGTATGCCGCATAATTATAGGGAATAGTTTCATTTTTAATATAGCACTTACATGTTAGCATTCAGTTGAATTTCGGGGAAAATAAAACAAGATAATACCTTTGATTCCACTTGGCTTAGCATATGCGGAATGTCAGAAGTTGTTGACTTGGGTATACCAAGTGTATCAAACATAGCTTGAACTTCCTGATAAATGTCACTATTTTTATCTAATTGAGAATTTTTATGTTTCTTGTTCTGTAGTATCTGTGAAGCTTGAAGTTCTGTACTTAAAAATACTAGAATAAAGAGAAAATAAATAATGTTAATACATGCATAAGAATCTCTTAAAATATTTCACTGAAATTATTCACTTAAAACAAGTATCAATTAATACCAATAATGCCAACTTACAAAGATCCAAAGAATACCAATAGCTGTAGAACACTGTAAACTTATAAATGAAATGATTCCCTAGTCCATAGCGTTACTTTCTTTTTTTTTAATGAAATGAGAAAAAACAACTAAAGCTATATAAAATAGACACCCTATTAAAATGCATTTACACTGTACTTTAAATGGTTGATTCATTTCACACTGGAGGAGCCCTAGTAGCTCCTACTGGAGTTAAGCAGGCAAAGATCCAGGCCCCACAAAACAGCAGCTTAACTTTCATCTACTTTACCTATAGAGGTTTAACCTAAGACTTAGTTTGAAACAGATGAATGGGTACAGAAAAAAGGGCACTAGAAGCGAAAAACTAAAATGAATTTATTTAATACTACCAGGAAAAAGAGAAATGGTTTATTTTATTCTCTTTGATTTCACACTAGCTGGTTTCAGTTCCATTTTAATTAACATATTAAATGATCTAGATTGCTATTTCAATAAGTACATGTTTACCAAGGACCTGTTCTGAGCCAGGAACGGTGTGAACAATGGGGATGCCAAGTCAAGGAAGATATGATGCCTACCCTCAAAGAGTATAAAATCCAGTAGTTGAGACCCACCACCAAATCAACAATTTAAAAACAGGTAAGAATGTGTAAGACTCTGGTAAATTATTCTGTCTCATATGTACAGAGCACACAGGTCAGGGGAGAACATATAGCTCTAACTTTAACTGATCTATAAGCACATAGAGCAATTTGAGTCAGGATAGAACACCCCAAACTGTTTACAAGTCCCTTTACTTTCACCATTTCATCTAATCCTTTCAACAGCCATATTTAAGAAAATTACTCAAAAATCTTAAATGGTTATAGTCTTGTTTTAAAGAGACTCTTCACCACAGTAGGTAAGACTTTGTTTTTGGCTGGGCATGGTGGCTCACACCTATAATCCCAGCACTCAGACCACCTGAGATTAGGAGTTCAAAATGAGCCTGGCCAACATGGTAAAATCCCGACTCTACTAAAAGTACAAAAATTAGCCAAGCGCGGTGGCACACGCCTGCAGGCCCAGCTACTACAGAGGGTGAGGCAGGAGAATTGCTTGAACCCAGAGGCGAAGGCTGCACTGAGCCAAGATCTTGCTATTGCACTCCAGCCTGGGTGACAGAGCAGATTCCATCTAAAAATAAATAAATAAATAAAAATTCTTTGTTTTTATTTGTTTCGTTAAAATTAGACATAAACACCACAATTTAATATAGCAGTTTTAACTTCAGCTGAACAGAAAATACACCTGAAAAACAATTTAAAAGTACAGGTGACAGGGTCCCATTCTCTGAGATTCTGAACAGTAGATCCAGAAGCAGGAGTTGGGCATCTGTGTGTGGTTTGTTTTAGACCCAGTGTGATTGTCAAGGACAGGCAAGATTGATAGTCACTGGTTTAAAGACTTTTCCATGCAGTCAAATATCCAAATATTAAGATCAATTATTAAACTTTAAGACCAATATTAAATTTTCTTTATGAGGACTATACTAAGGTCCTTTTGACTTAAAAACTTCATTAAGACCAGGTGTGGCGGCTCAGGCCTGTAATCCCAGTATTTGGGGAGGCTAAGGTGGGAGGACAGCTTGGGCGCAGGAGTTTAAGACCCACCTGGGCAACACAGACCCCATCTTTACAAAAGATTTTTTAAAAATTAGGTAGGCATGGTGGTGTATGCCTGTAGTTCCAGCCATGCAGGCTGAGGGAAGAGGATTGCTTAAGCTCCAGAGTTTGCAGGGGACCAGTGAGCTACAATCACACCATTGCACTCCAGCCTGGGCGACACAGTGAGACCCCATCTTATAATAAAAACTTGATTAAAACAGATTATCAGTTTCTCAAAAATTTATATTTTAGACAGAACCTTGGCTGAAGTCTATTGTTGCTATATGGAAACATGCGTTCCCTATGTAAGAGTACAGATAAGAGTCTAGCATTTACGATGCTAATCCATGCAGATAGTAAGCAGTGTAGGGAAAAGTAAGCCTTCTTCCTTTTGCTGAACCTTAGATTCCCCCTCCCCAGAGGCAATCACCATTAATTTCTTGGGTACCCTTTTAGGCATGTGTGTGTATAGGTATTCAAGATACATAGTAGCCATCTACGTGCTTTTCTTTTATATAAACAAGAACATGCTATACATGTTCTCTGTGTGTGTGTGTGTGTGTGTGTGTATATATATATATATATTTTTTTTTTTTTGAGATGGAGTCTCCCGCTGTTGCCCAGGCTCGAGTGCAGTGGCGCGATCTCGGCTCACTGCAAGCTCCGCCTCCCGGCGATCTCCGCTCACTGCAAGCTCCGCCTCCCGGGTTCACGCCATTCTCCTGTCTCAGCCTCCCGAGTAGCTGGGACTACAGGCGCCCGCCACCGCGCCCGGCTAATTTTTTTTTTTTGTATTTTTAGTAGAGATGGGGTTTCACCGTGCTAGCCAGGATGGTCTCGATCTCCTGACCTCGTGATCTGCCCGCCTCGGCCTCCCAAAGTGCTGGGATTACAGGCGTGAGCCACTGCGCTCGGCCATGTTCTGTATATTTATTTTGTGTTTACCAACATATCTTAGAGATCATTCCATATCAGCACATTTGATTTATCTGCATTCTTCCTATTACCTATCTAGTGACATCACTGCATTAATGTACCATTTCTATTTATCTATATTTATGGACACTCAGGTTTCTGGTCTTTTTGCTACTACAGTGTCACAATGAACATGGTTTTCTTTTATCTTTGTACACTTGGGGAAATAGATATATATTCATAGACAAAGAATTGCCAAGTCAAAAGAATTGCCAAGTCCAAAGGCCTAGTGATTTTTAATGTGACACTGAAAATGTGTCCTCCTAAGAGGCTGTACAAGCTATTCTCCCACCACAGTCTAAAGTCTGTAGTAAACGAAAAGGCTTACTCCCCCAAACTTCTATTATGATTTTTTGAGTGAAAAATGGTATCCTGTCATAAGTGATATTGTGCATCTTGTCATGCTTAGAAGCAGTTAAAAAAATTTTTCTGTAGAATGCATGTTCATGTCTTATGTATTTTACATATTTTCTCAGTGAATTTTTATCTTTTTTGTCTTGATTTATAAAAGCTCTTTACATGGTACAGAATTTGGCCCTTTTTATTTTATACATGTTGCAAACACTTTCAAAAAGAACACAAAGAAGCTTATTATATCAATATGATTAAAACAGTTGAACTGAAGAAAGAATAGATGCTGGTAAGACTGTGAACTGGTATAACCTTTCTGGAGCAAAATATGGCAATGTACATCTAGACCAGAGACTATTTTAAATGTTCATAATCTTTGTCAAAGTAAGCAAAAATATAAACAAGGAAATCATTTCAAAATAGAAAAAAATCCAAATACCTCCAAATTTGAAATCTATTACACATAACGTTATGTCAATAGCAGAGCCAATTTATTTTTTCAAAAAAAAGTGATAGGGAAATAAAGAGATAAACAATATATCAAATGAAGAGGAGGAGAAAAAGCTGTAACAGGATCTTTATCTTATTTAAAAAATGAGTGAGTGAGAGTGTGAGTGTGTGTGTGTATGTACACAGAAGACAAAGACACAATATTCTCTCTAAGGAGTGAAATTATAAATGCTTTTATGTTTTATGTATTTTCTAAGATTTCTATAAGCATGTAATTTTTGAACATATAAAATTTACCATTTTAATCATTTTTAAGTATACAGTTCTATGACATCACCATCCATCTTCAAAACTTTTTCATCTTCCCCACTGAAACTCTGTACCCATTAAACACTAACTCCTCATCACCGCCCTCCTGAGCATGTTATTTTTATAATCAGAAAAAATGATATACTTCTCTTAAATCTCTTCTTTATTCCTACTTGTACCAGAAACCTGTATCACTACAATTGCTAAGCTTCTTAGCAGCTAAGGAAAAAAGGGAACCATGATGGATTACATAATTCTCATTGACTGATATTAAGGATATGTAAGTTCCTCTAGTCGGTGCTTCTTAGGTTCCTTTCTGTTCCAAAATACGTAAGAGTTACTGTGATCTCCCATTAACAGTGGTTCATTAAATCAGTGACTCGCACCAAATGGGAGGAAGATGGAGAACGGTGTATTGGGATGGAGAGAGAGGGCATATAATTTTTATCCCCACTCAACACATACAAGGTAATTTCAATGCCAATACTTTTAACACCACTAAACACACACACACACACACACACACATATTTCATCTCCAATGAAACAAACTTTATTAAAACACTAGCACCTAGGAGGAATATGCCACATGTAATCTTTTTATAAATGGTATAATCTGAAAGAGAAATCTTCAATAATAAAAGGTATTAGATTAGTCATTGTTTGTAGAACTTTAAAAACATTATAAAATTAACCTAAAGTAAAAAAATGATGAAAGAACCCAATACAAACATGGACCTACTATTTATGGCAATTGTTTGAATACAGTGTGATCTATATTCCAAATCCCTCCCTGATGAAACTGGTCACATGTAAGTGTCCTAAAGGCACAAATTTTATCTTTAAAAAAAAAAAAAAAAAAGCAAACAAACAACCCTCATATATTTCTAGTATCCAGAGCAGTTCCTGGTACAAGAGTAAGTGATCAACAATTTTTTTTTTAACAAATTATCATCCAGTGCCTAGTTTCAGAGAGCTTTAAAATTAAATAGGACCTTGGAGATCATCAACTTTAGCCACATAGTCAGGAATAATAATAACAGACAGAATGAGATAAAGAAAAAATTACTAAAGTACTATATAAATCACAAACACAGGACATTCTATGTTGGCCAAATAAATCACAAGTGTTAGAAGGTATACTGGTAAAATTCATACTATATTATATAAACATTTCTGAGATAGCTTTGTATTTTAAGTAAAATATTAAAACCTTAATATACAAAATGTCTAATGCTTCATTAATAAATCTTGACTTGAAAATAATAAGAACCATAGCAAACACATGCATTTAAATGTTCAACATAACTTACATAGAAGTTTCAAACAGTCCTCCTTCTTTTTTAAACGATCTTTAATATCTCCTGATATGAGTACAGAATATGGACATGCCATTTCTTTTAAAAAGCCACTTATCTCAAGCTGGAAGCTCTCTAGATCATCTCTTCCTTTAAAAAAGAAAAATCATAAAACATTTACTGAGCATTTACCATATAATCCAATACTATAAAATCTAGTCGTTTATTTCCATTTTACATTCAATTCTAAATTTTCACATTAAATCCTTAAATGTGTGATCACGAAGCTTATGTTAACAACTGAAATAGTAAAAGCATTATTATGGCTATAATTATTAATTCACTTCAGAGCAAATGATCCATTTCTACTGTATTTCTATATATTCAGAAAAATAAATGCAACCATTTAACCCTCAGTGCCTATCTTTATTTCATAATGTAATTACGTAGGCGGTCATATTATATGTTTAGAATTCAACTTATTTTACTTTGCGTCAAGTGAGCTGTTAGATCTGGCAAGGAAAAAACAACTGAAAAGTAAGGATAAGTTGAGTGCGGTAGCCCGTATCTGCAGTTTCAACTACTCAGGAGGGTGGGGTGAGAGAACTGCTTGAGCCCAGGAGTTCAAGTCCAGTCTGGGCAACATAACAAGACCCTATCTCTTAAGAAAAAAAGGGATACCTTTCAAAGAAAAAGCTACTTTTGTGAATGCACAATTTTTAATTGTTCTTTTTATTATACTATTAATATCTGAAATTCTACCAAAGACCCACAGGACTCCAGTTACTAAGATGGTGATGAACTAAAGAAGCTTTATGAGCTAGTACAGACGTTTTTAATAGAGGCATTCCTATGTGAATCCATATCCTGAGCTACAAGCTTCGGAACACAAATTAGGAATTACATATATATATAATATTTTAAGCCTTAATTCAACATGAGCACCATTCAAAAATTAAACTTTTAAATAATCAAATTCAGACCCTACTTTTTCTAAAAAACTATACTAAGGTTTAGACAGCAGATATCAGAGCTGTCAGGAAGAGAAAAAATAGCAGATAAACAGTAATTGCTTATAGTTTTATAGCAAATTTAGGTATCAATTTTGGATTAATATAAAATTTAATCCAAACATGTTTACTACCACATACTGAAATTCTTTGGAATACGTGATTTTTCTTTGTACAGTGGGCACATTATTGATAAAACTATAAACCATAAGTTATCAGTTTATCTTACTATTAAACAGAAAAGTAAATAAAACATAATGGCAATACCAGCAGACGTGATACTTTCTTCCAAGTTGCATAATGATTTTATTTGAGAGCCTAACCAAATACAGAGCTCTGAAAATTCAGGTGAAGATAATCCACCCTCTGCTGCCTTCGTAAGGGCTTGCTCTTCTAACAATGGTCCTTTATACCTAGAAAGGAAGAAATACCAGTTAAAAACTAAATAAGCCAAACAAACAAAAAAACTTTCAATACTCTGTGTCAAGGTCTGCTGCTTGTTTTTGTAAATAAAATGTTATTGGAACACAGCAATTAAATGTATTAATCCACAAATTAGCTATGGCTGTTTCCACACTACAATGGAAGAGCTAAGTAGTTGTAACTGAAAATGATCACTACATGGCCTTTTAAAGAAATGGTTTGCTGATTCCTGCTCTATATAATTAACATTTAGCTTTTTTCCTACGTTTTAACATTCCACAGTAAAATTATCTACCAATTTTAAGATAAATTCCACAGATATCACAAAGTCAAATACAGCATAAAGTCTAATAACCTTACATTAATTACAATAAAAGTGTGGTGAAAAAAAGCACAGATACAAATTACAAATTTAAAAAAGCTAAAGTTGAAAAGAACCTATTAGATCATTTTAATCTAAACCTTTTATTTTATATTATTTTATTTATTTACTTATTTGTTTATTTTTCAGACAGGGTCTCACTCTGTCACCCTGGTGGGAGTGACACAATCTGAGCTCACTGCAACCTCCGCCTCCTGGGTTCAAGCAATTCTCATGCCTCAGCCACCAGAGTAGCTAGGATTATGGGCACCCGCCACCACACACAGCTAATGTTTGTATTTTTAGTAGAAAGGAGGTTTAGCCGTGTTGGCCAGGCTCTCCTGAGCTCAAGCAATCCACCCACCTCAGTCTCCCAAAGTGCTGGGATTACAGGTGTGAGCCACCGTGACTGGCCTCATTTATTTATAATTTTACACTTTTAAACATTTCTGCAAGTTGTATTTCACAAGAATCTTAAATTTTCAAAACACTTTATATACTATCTCAACTAAATTAGATGATCAGTTTTCTACTTTTATGGTTCTTTTTGTAACTGAACTTTTGTTAACATTATAAACTCACAGATAATATATTTGATGTGTTTTAATCCATTACAGTTATTATTCTTTTGATACTCAAATTTTTCTATGTCTGATTTGTAGTAGCCCATTCACGCAGGTCAATGGAGCCCTTTGTCTTGTCCCCTGTACTCTCTGAATACTTTCCTTGCTTTCTACAACATCATCTTCCTGCCTTAGACTTGGAATCAGGCATTTCTCCAAGGAGCCCGGATTCTTTTAATGGTATTTAGAGTACATAATCTGGTACCAAAGGTTGAGCACTGTTTCTATGCCTTTTTCAGAGAAACTATATTAGGAGTTCATATTGCTATTTCCAACTGGCATTTAGAATTGTAGGGGTTTTACTTATTTTGTTTTACATTTTTATCTTCTCTTACAATAAGTCTTGTTTTAATTAACATTTACAAATTCCTAATATATATTAAAATAGTTATAAATTACATATGGCTTCAGAATAGGAAATCTAGCTTACTACCAACAATAAAATTACAGTTTAATTTTTTTATATGTATTCCTGTACATTTTACAATGTATTCCTGTAAGGATATACAGAAAAACCCTTCCCATGTGATTAAACCACCTACTCGATACATTAATAGACATTTGTTTTATTCAGCTTTTAATTTATAGGGATTTGTTTCTTTTTATTTCATTTTTGTCTTATAATTACGTAAAACATTAATGCGGTTTCAAAGTCTAACTTAAAAAACAAAGTACTTCAGAAAAATCTAGTTTGCAATTTTAATCTTGTATCCTCTACTCTGTTCCCTCCCTCCCCTCCAGGTGACCATATTTATTAGTTTGGGATTGTCCTTCCATCATGTTTTTCAACATAAATACATGCATTTTTGTCTCCCCTTTCAGATAAAAGGCAGCCTACTATATACTGTTCTAGTCCTTGCTTTAAACACATACATGCTCACACACACATACATTTACATTAGTAGAGATCAGTATTTAGAGATATTATTCAACCATTTTTTACAGTTATATACTGCCCCACTGTCTGGATGCACCATATTTTATTTAATCAGCATCTACTAAAGGACACTTGGACTGTTTCCAGTGTTTTATTAATATAGTTCGGCAAATTTTTGTCAGTTTATATCTAGGATAGATTCCTAGAGGTGAGGCTGTTGGGTCAAAGGGTAAACAGATACGTAACTTTGCTAGATACTATGAACTTCTCCTGTAGAGGGGTTGTACCATCAAAGCATCAGAGTACCCATTCCCTCATCATTCACCAAAGTTGTCAAACTTTTGGGTTTTTGACCATCTGGTAACTCACTCTAGTTTCATCTACATTTCTCTTATGAGCAAGACATAGGGCATCTTTGCATATGTTTAAAGGCCACTTGCATTTCTTTTTCTTTGAATTCTCTGGTTATATCAGATGAAGGGTGAGTACAGGTATTTTCAAATCCTCATTTTGTAGGTAAAGAAACTAAGACTTCATGACATTAGGAAACCTGCCTTTATGTAGCAGGCCAGGCACAGTACTAGGCATGCATATATATATATATATATATATATTTCATTTAATTTTTACAGCAATGCTTTAAGTTAGCATTATCCTAATTGTGTAGAATCAGAAGATGGCACTAGCATTTAAATCCACGTTTAACCCAAATGCTCCATCGTTAACATAGGTCTTGTTAGATCTCTGTCTACAACTATAAGGAAACTAAGGAAATAACCTGGTCCAGCTGATACAGCCAAGTAAAGGCAGAGCTGAGACTAGAACATTATTTCTGCACCCCCCAGCTCAAGGCTGGTTCTTCTATGACTCAGCCTTCCTCCATGTCTTACAATGCCTCTCAATGAGATTTCATAGTAAACATCTTAGATCCTCTTACTTCCTTTCATTTCTGCAATAAAGCAATACTCATAAACTCTTGAAAGAATTTAACTAATTCATATTGGTGTAAGTTTTTTTTTTTTTTAACTGAAATGTCAATAATAAAAACCAACAAAAACTGGTCAAATCACAAAAAATTCTGAATTTGGAAAGAAAAATCTAATCTTTAATGCCTTAGCTCATCAGGTGAAGTAAAAATAAAAAGAGGAAAAAGTAAATGCCTTTAACATACCTGAACATCTAATTAACAATCAAAATCACAATAGTGGCTAACTGTATGTTGGGTCAGCACTAAATGATTTATATAAATTCTCTCATTTAATTGCCACAATACCCTATAAGGTAGATACGATTATTAGCTTCATTTTACAGATGAGGAAGCTCAGGAAGATACAGGTAAATAATTCGTCCGGGATGGCCATAATCATAGCGAACAATCGTCCCAGAACCGAGCCACACAACCTCTCTTTATAGCCCCGCACTCTTAGCCCCTATTGTTCTGTCACCATCCAGAAATGTATCTAATTGTCTTATGCAACAGAAGTGTCTAAAAATATTCTGCTAGATAACTGGTTAAGAATATGAAAGCACTCTTCTGGCTAGAACAGTGCTTCTTAAACTTTTATGTGCATATGAATCTCCTGAGGGTCTTATTAAAATAAAGATTCTAATTCAGTAGAGCTGGAATGAAGTCTGGGATTCTGCATTTCTACTCCCCAGGTGGTGACGATGCTGCTAGTCCACAGACCTCTATTAAGCAGCATAGTACTTATTTTTTTACTTTCGTTAAAAAAAAAAAACTCTCAATATTTATCATCACTCCTTCTCCTCTTGCAGTACATGAGAAATTAGAGCGCGCATTTAAGAGTCTATTTATGCTACATTTAGCAACTGTTTAGTGCTTACCACATTTATTTCATACTTGCTTTGATTTCCAACACCATTCAGCATTTACGAATAACCAAGCTCCTGGTTTGTGCTATATATTCTTAGTTAATCATGAAAGTGCTACTGTTATTCCAAACACTGGGAACATCTCCCCTAGGCCTAGGCCCTCCCGCAAAGCCTCATACCCTGGAAGCATAGTTGCTGGTCGGACATTACTTCAAGCAGGGTGATCCAAATCTTCAGTCCATTAGGGCTGCTGGTAACTCTCCTGAACAACACAACCAGGGCCTAATTTACTTTCGATTTTCATCAGCCAAGAGACAAAATAGAAGACCCTTTCTTTTCCCATCATTTACCCAACCTATTGTCTCTGCCTCTCATCCAACTCTCCACCTCTCTCTGCTTCCCAAAAAATGTCCACTATTTTCTATCCACAGCACGGCATATATTTTGCTATATTGTCCATCTCTTCTCAGAAAGATTATCCCTCTCATTTTCACTCTGGATTCTCCATTTTGGACCCAAACTGAGAAGCCCAGAGCTGCTGCTAGGAGACTGGAGCCAGGGTACCCAGGGGAGCCCATCCCCAGGCACCCACCCTTGGTACAGGCTACCTCGCTTCCTGGCCCAGGGAGGAAAGGAGAAGGGGTATGTGAACAGCTGTGGGAGTCGAAGTCTCAAGAGTTGCAGCAAGCCCAAGCCCAGGCCCTCTAGCCCAGCCCAGACCCTCATTGGTTCTTCCACCCAGCCAGCCCACACCTGCAGAATTAGATGGAGCACAGTTCCATCATCACCCAAGCACAGGTGGAAGACGCCCTGGTGCTCACCAAACAAGGCCTGGTCTCCAAGTCCTCCTTAAGAAGCTTTGTGGATGTAACATCTTCAAGGCCCTTTTCTGCTATTTTCACACCCAGCATGGCCAGTCAAGCTCTTCCACTGAGCTCGTGCATATAAGGAGGAAGTCAACACCACTGCTAAGTCAGATCTGCTCCAGTGTCTCCAGTACCAGTTTTATCAGATCCCAGGGACATGCCTGCTCCAAGGTGACAGAGGAAGATCAGAGGAGGATCTGTGCGGTCACTGACCTAGATGAAACTTTTGTGCATCTTTAAGCCCAGCAACAATGCTAGCTTCACAGTGCCTACAGAGATTGAGGAGACCACTCAAGCAGGTGTATGTGCTCAAGAGGCCTCACGCGGAAAGAGCCAAAGAGAGAATTCTTTGAATGTGTTCTCTTCACTGCCAACCTGGCCAAGTATGCTGACCTGTGACGGATTTGCTGGACCAGTGTGGGTGTTCCGAGCTCATCTATTCCATGAGTCCTGTGGTTCCACCAGGGCTGCTAAGTCAGGAACCTCAGCCTCCTGGGGAGGAACCTGAGGAAAACCCTCATCCTGGACAACTTGTCTGCTTCTTACATCTTCCACCCAGAGAATGCAGTGTCTGTGCAGTCCTGGTTTGATGACATGGCAGATACTGAGTTGCTGAACCTGATCCCAGTCTTTGAGGAGCAGAGCAGAGGACGTCTACACCAGCCTCGGGTAGGTGCAGGCCTCTTAGCCTTCCCTGCTTCCAAGCAGTGGTCATCCTAGTAGGGGTCTTTCCTACACTGTGCCTTTACAGTCACCTGACAGAGTGGAAGCTGGAGCACCTCACCACATGAGCCTGGAAATAGTGAGAAGTGATTGTAAAGAGCTTAGGACAGCTTAGATGCCAAGCAGGCAAATGCCAGACCAACAATACCCAGAGCTGCCTGCTCCCGAGTTGTTGGGTTCCCGAGATGTGTGTGTGTGTGTGTTCTGCCGTGAACTGTGGCCCCAGGACACAGTGTTTCAGTAGGGGAGAAGCTGAGTCTTAGTCTTTCAAGTCATCTCCTCTCCTGTCACCCTAAAAGCCACTGAACTCTATAGGGATGAAGACTATTGAACACTCCATTGCCAAACCATGGCCTTTCCCCAGTGTTATCAGGCCTATGCCAAGGAAAAGGGAAGGTTATGCCTTTGGGTGCTCCAGGTACACACCTTTCCAAAATCTTTCTCCAGCCAGCTGCTGCAGACAAAAATAAGACATTTCTGGGAAGATGAGGACTTGTTTCCAGGCCAGTACCCCAGTGGCCATCAGGTCTTGTGGCCCAAAAGCTACACTTGCCTCCAGCCAAGTGCCTGGCATGGGCCCTTTCTGTGTCTCCCCAAGGTTGGGTACTGAGCTCCCTTCCTCACCGTCTAGCCATAGTCTTGAACCTATGGGGAAGGAGGTTTTCTTCCCACCCCGGAAGAGAACAGATTACTAATTTCTGTTCTTTTGACTCTGCTTGAAAATTCTCTTTCTTAAAAAAAAAAAAAAAAAAAAAAAAAAAAAACTAAGATGATTATTCCTACCGTCTCTAGCTTTAGTTATTTTTATTTTTGCAAATTCCTAAAGAGCAGATAGTAGGGGTTTTGGCCTCCTTACTTACCAAAATAGCATCATTATCACTGCTCTCCCATTATCTTATAAATATCTCCTGTTCTCTTGAGGCACAGGCCATGCAGATTTACCACCCATTCACTTGTGGTTTTCATCTATTACCTCTTGGACACTCCCCAACATCCTCTTTGCTCAGTTTTCCTCTCCACCTCTGTTCTTCCCATTATACTGAGTTTCTTTAAAGTCTGTATGTATACCCTATCTTACACCCTGAGCTCTCAGTTTCAACCTGCACGTGTCACTCAGCCCCCCTTGCACCCTTGTCATTACCCAGAACTACTCTACCTCCAAAATCACTCATCCAAACATGTGGCTCCCTGACCACAACCTCTTACTTACCCTTCCAGCTTGCTTCTTTGACCACTCACCTACAACTATGGTTTGATATTATCATTACCTCCATTCATTGATCCCTCTGCATTCTTCATATTTACCGACTTTCTCCTATCTTCACATTCTTCTGTATCCAATTTAGATTCTAAGGTGTATCATTTCATTTTAGTGCTCAATACCAACTGAAGATATTAATCTGGTGGGGCCTGGTGGCTCACACCTGTAATCCCAACACTTTGGGAAACCAAGGCAGGAGATCATTTGAGGCCAGGAGTTCAAGACTAGCCCAGGCATCATAACAAGACCCTGTGTCTATAAATCTTTTTTAAAATAAAGAGAAATGAATCTTTGAATTTTAATATCCAATCAATTACTAAGTCCAGTAATGTAGTTCTTTCCATATCCACTGCCACTAAGCAACCATCATTTCTTTCCCAGACTATTAACTAAATTCTCCAATCCATTTTCCACCTTGCTGACAGATGTAACTTTCAAACTAGACATCTAATCACTCCCTTTTTATTTACAATTCTTCAATCGCATCCCACTGCTGTTATGATCAAGAATAAAATCCACAATACAGCCTAAAAGGGGCTACATGCCCTAATTTTCACCTAACTCTTTAATCCAATTTCCCACCACTCTGCCCCTCACACTCTACCTTCTCACCACATTAGCCTCCTTCCAGTTCTTCCAATACAGCAAGCTCCTTCCCACTTCACGGTCTTCACATTTTCTTCTCACTGTAAGGATATCTTTGTTCCCCTTTTTCATCCATCCAGCCTCAACTAGTTAACTTCTATTCACCCTTCCCATTTCAACTCAAATGTCACTTCCTCAGGAATCTATCACTAACCCCTAAGACTTCTTAGATCCTCCTGTCATATCACCCTGTTCTTTCCCTTTGACACATTTATTATAGTTTATAATTATTTTTGTGATGTCTGTTTCTCCACTAGATTGTAAACTCCACAGGGGCAGCAACCAAGTCTCTTTTGCTCACCACTGACTCCTCAGAATGACGTCCAATATACAGTGGTGTTAATAAATATTTAAAGGAAACTTCTCTCCACAGTAGTGTTTCTCAACCAAGGCTGTGAATCTTTTTAAAAACATGCAGGTCTGTACTGTACCTCTTGAAGATTACGATTCAGTCAGTCTATGGTATATACCAGACTGGAACAGTTTTCATAAGTTCCACATGATTCTGATGTACTTCCAGCATTGAGATCTACTATTCCACAAAATCAGAGACTATCAGAACTGAAAGAGACTTCTAAAATCATCTGCTCCAGCCCTCTCTTTTCACAGATGAGAAAACTTACTGACTCCTAGCCTATCCTGTTTTTTCACCTGTATCACTAAATTGTGCTTTCACACAGATTTTTCCCTTCAAATGCCTCCCATTAATTTATTTTATATAACAAACTGAAGTACCTTCCCTGATATCCTAAATACCTTACAACAGAAAATGCATTATGCACCATCTACATGGATATTTGAAAACACAGCGTTGCATTACAACACATATTGTAAATAACTACTTTTTTCACATCTTATTATCATAGGAGAATTCAAACTTCAAAATTTTGCCCTCATAGTTATTCCAGGAAAAACTAATTTTGGAGTGTGTAAACTGTTTTACTTTTCATGTTGAATAATCTGAAACTAATTTTCCTTGATAAAAATTAAGATTATAGCAATGAACTTTCCAAAACACTTATAATAGGAACAATAAGTTCAAGAAGTGAAGAAAGAAGAAAAGCACTGCCTTTTCCTTTTTCATAAACCATTTATGAGATCCCAGTATTCTTACCTGAAGTACTTGGGAGCTCAAACTCTTTGGTGCCTAAATAATTCTACTAAGTATTTTCAGTTCTTGTTTTGGTTCCTTCTTAACCAAGTTAAGGGAGAACTTCCAAGGGACCTCACAGAAGTAAAAATGCCCCCTAAATAACCAATGGCACTGTTCTTTCATTGGACAAATATGTATTCACAATCTACTACTGCAAGACTCCAACACTGGATCACTGCAGAGTACATATTATCAGGGTCCAGCTAAAGAAACAGTTGATAGAGGGGCAAATGCAGTTTTAGGGAAGATAAAGTGCGGTGTGGGATTGGTTCAAGCTTCATAACAACACTGCAAAGGCACAGCTTCCCCTATCAAGAAACAGCAGCACGTAGCAGGGCAAACAAATGTGCAGATGGCTCCAAGCTCTTTATTTAATGTGCACCGTATGACTCAACTATCTGGTCCTATGCTTATCGTTGCGGGCTCTCTTCTCTAAGCTGTTCATTCATTTACTCATTCATTCGACCAACTATTTACTGTAAGAACTCCGTTCTAGTGTGTGGCTGGGAACACATCGGTGAATAAAATATGCAAAGCATCAGTTTTCCAGGAGCTGACTTGGGGAGGAGGAGGAATTAAATCAGAGAGAAGGGGAGTTCAAGAGACAAATGAATGGGCAGGACATGATAATTTGGGATGGGGACAACAGCTGTGTGGAAAAAACAGGACGAGGTTGAGGGGGAGATTACTAACCACCACACTTGTTAAGTATTAACATTACTCCCACCTCCATCCTAAGAGTTCTCACAGCACCTACCACACTGCACTGTAGCCTGCAGTAGCCTGCGCGACTACGTAAGCCACGAGTAATCTGAAAACTATCTTTTTCCCTTGCCTAGAGGAAATTTACAAACGTAAATGCGTGTAAATGCACATACAAGCTAATATACACGTTGACGAACAGATGAAATGGTTGAAAGAATGAACTCGCAATGAACTACAACACTTTCTCCGGTCAAAGTAGAAGCCATTCGCTTCAGAGCCCCAAGTAAGCCACAAGTTGTACACTGTAGGAGACAACTGTCCTCAACAGCAGCTCAGGTTCCACCACCTCCCTCCGGGCGCCACAACTACGTCAACACAAATATCACAAATATCGCGGGCGCGGGCTCGCCCAGAAAACTGGTGCCAGAAGGGCCGCTCCGCGCCACCCCGCGGATTCCTGCAACAGAGTTCCGAGGCAAGAAGTTAGAGAGAGGGGGCCACGAACCCCAGCTCTCCGGCCCTGCTCCACCCCCTAAATAGATTTCTCTCCCGCCTCCCGCTTAACTCCGTCGGCGCCGGAGGGATCCAGGCAGGGAAGGAGGCCTGCACAGGGCCGCCCAGGCCCACAGAGGCCCAGGGGAAGTAGGTTAAGCAGCCAGGCCAAGGAGAGGTCGCGTTTTCAGGAAAAAGGCGTCTCCAAAAGCACTCACCCCAGCGCCTCCAGTGTGTCCAGCACGTCTCCCTCCATCGTTGGTTCGGGACCCGGCTCCGGCCCTCTCATGGTCCTTTGGCCCAGAGCTGTTCGGCGCTCTAAGTAACCCGCCGGAAACTAGCGTCACCGCGCCAAGGTTCCGGTCCGGGTCTCGCCGGTAACTGCCTAAGAGCACAGCTGAAGAAGGGCGCAAAGGTTCCCAGCCCGGAGGCGATGGACACTTGACAGTGCCTAAAACCGCTGTGTGTAACGATAATAATTTTTTAAAAGAATAGTTGAAATAATAGTAATAAAGAGGTCTCTGTGTTGGGTCTTTTTTGTGTGTTCAAATAAATTTTAGCAAATATCGTGGTATCGAGTTGATCTCAACCTATCCGATTCCAGACCTTCTTTTAAGTAACAGAAATCTGAAATGAAATTATAATTATCTTCAGCTAAAATTAGTAACTAATATCACATGCCTACACACATAATTTTTAAATCAATATATACGACGATGCTTCAACTTTAAGGAAACAAGGAAGGTACGTAATTTATAACAAAGTAGTATTTTTCTCCTAATGAAATGCAGACCAATGAAGGGATCAGATGCTTGCATCTCTCTATGTGGAAACCCCTCAAATGCATATTCAGATGATGCGCTTCATTGCTGACAAAGTATCAGTTGTATAAGCAACAAAGAGCAGAGTAAGGTAGCTGATGTGGTTTTCCAAATTTGTGGCTAACTCTCCACAAAGTTCCAAATAAACAAAACATAATATACCCTCTGTGTACTATCCATGGAGAATTCAATCTCTATCTAAAGGATTTAAAATATATATTTTAGGGTTCATATGTAAAAAGTACTAAGAGTATAAGGTTAGATCATTATTAGCAGGCATGTCACCTACATGAATATTCCAGCAGAACTGTTGAAAATCCTGCAAGAAGTATAACTATTGATCCCTTGTATGGACCTGTTCCTTGCATTGCAGACTACATAGCATTGGTAGCCCCAGTCCAATAAAAACCAGTAATGCTCTCACCTTCCTAGTCGGAGTTACAAACAAAAAGCATACCCATAAATTTGTAAAACACTCAAAGGTAAGCTGTAGTAGTCCGCTCTCACATTGCTATAAACATATACCTGAGACTGAGTAATTTATAAAGAAAAGGGGTTTAATTGGCACTTGCTTCCACAGGCTGTACACGAAGCACGATGCTGGCATCCGCTCCACTCCTGGGGAGGCCTCAGGAAATGGACAGTTGTGGCAGAAGGGGAAGAGGGAGTGCAGCTATCACATGGCCGGAATAGGAGGAAGAGAGAGGGTGCAGGGAGGTGCCAGACACTTTTTTTTTTTGATCTGTCAATTTTACTAGTCTTTGCAGACTCAGATTTTGCCTTAATTTTCTCTATTGCATTTTCTTCCTATTTCATTGGTGACTACTCTTTATTATTTTTATTTCCCTGCTTCTTTGGATTTAATTTGTTTTTCAGCTTCTTGAGATTGATACTTAAGTAATTTTTAATCTTTTTCATTTCTAATAGTCACACCTAATGCTATATATTTTCCTCTAAGAATGAGTCCTCATATGTTGAATCCTGCATGAGTTGATATGTTGTGTTTTTATTATCACTCAGTTCAAAACTCTCTAATATCCATTATAATTTCTAGTTTGATGCCTGGTTATTTAGAAGTGTATTGCTTAAATTCCAATCAATTAGTTAAGGGATATTTTTAGTTTTATTTTTGATTTCTTAATTCCTTTTTTTGGTTACAATCTCGTACTCAGGGAATTAATTCCTATTTTAATTCCACTTGAGTCAGAGAACATGCTCTTTATGATTTCAATTTTTAATTTGGTGAGACTTACTTTAGGATCCACTGTAGGGTTAAGTTTTACAAATTACATGTGCCCTTGAAAAATGCATATTCTGAAGTTTTGGGAGGGGTAGAGATCTATGTGTATCAATTAGGTCAAATTTATTAATTATGTTTTCCAACTCTTATTGACTTGGAATATTTTATGCCTACTGATTTTTTTTTTTTGACTGCTTGTTATATTAGTTAATGTGATTGTGGCTTTGTCTATTTCTCCTTTAAGTTGTTGGCTTTTAAAGTTTATATATTTTGAGGCTGGTTATTAAGCAAATAAACATTTAGGATTCTTATGGTTTTCTGCTGTCATGACCTTTTTATCATTATGAAATGTCCCTATTTATCTCTCTGTAATATTATAATGCTTCTTGTGTTAATAGCTATTTTTTCTGATATTAATATTGCTACCCAGTTATCTTTTGGTTTGATATTTTATCTTCCATTTTTGCCTTCTTTTAGATTTAATAAGTATTTTTCATTATTCCATTTCTCCCTTTTCTTAGTTGTTAGTTATATACTATTTCATGATTTCTTTAGTGGTCACCTAAATGATGACAATATGCAACCTTGATTTGCCACCATTAATTCGTTGTTTTACCACTGCCTGGACAATGGAAGAATATTATAGTTTTTAAACTCTCTTTGTCAGCACCTCACCCCCCGAATTATCCCTATAGTTTACATTTCAGAAGTCATTACTATTACTGTTTTGAATAGTCAATATTTATGTAGTTTCACTTACATATTTACCATTTCCAGTGGCACTCTTCATTATTTTTTGCACTATTGGGATTTTATCTGGCATCATTTTTTTTAACCTGAAGAACCCTCTTTAATATTTCTTTTGACATGAGTCTGCTGGAAACAATTTATGTTAGTTTTGTTTATCTGAAAACATCTTTATTTTGCCTTCATTTCTTAAGGGTATTTCCACTGTGTAAAATTCTGGATTTGTGATTATTAAGCATATAAAAGATGCTATTCCATTATTTTCTTGCTTCCATTGTTTCTTTTGAGAAGTCAGCTTATATGATGTTAAAGTTTGGTTTTTTCCTCAAGCTGCTTTTAAGCTTTTCCTTCTATCTTTTGTTTTTTACTAAAATTTTCCTAAATTGTGAATTTCTTTGTGTCTATCCTCGTTGGCATTAACAGTGCTCTTGGATCAGTGGTGGTTTCATCAGGAAATTTTTAGCAGAGTCTCTTCTTGCTTCTGTCTCATTTTCTCAATGGTCTTGTTGGAGTAAATTATTCCATTTACTATGTTAGACTTTTTCAGTTTCTTCAAATATCTGTCATGCTTTTTCTTTTTTTTTTTCTTTTGAGACAGGGTCTCACTCTGTTGCCCAGGCTGGAGTGCAGTGCCTGATTACAGCTCACTGCAGCCTCGGCCTCCTGGGCTCAAGCAATCCTGATCCTCCTGCCTTAGCTTCCTCAGTAGCTAGGACTACAAGTGCATACCACCATACCTGACTAATTTTTAAATTTCTTGTAGAGATATGGTCTCGCTTTGCTGCCCAGGCTGGTCTCAAACTCCTGGACAAGTGATCCTCTCACCTCAGCCTCCCAAAGTGCTGGGATTACAGATGTGAGCCACCATGCTTGGCCAGTCATGCTTTTTTGTTTGTTCGTTTTTAGTTATTTTTCTGTGCATAACTTTTGTTATTCATTTATTTAGATTTTTTAGGAAAACCAGCAGCAGAACACTCAAGATCAACAATAATAAAGAACAGTTACCTCATTTCTATTGGATTTTTACAGAGACTTTTTGCCAAGATTACTAAGACTAGTACCTTCTATGACACCCCAACTCTGACAAGAGGCAGGAACCACTAATATACGTTCTCCTCTCCCTTATTTGGAGATGAATTCAGATACATTAAACTGCAAGTAAGCTTTATACAGCTCTAAAATATACAGTAAAAATAGTCATTATATAAATGTATGGGTGAGTTTATGATATGGTTAGGATCTGTGTCCGTGCCCAAATCTCATGTTAAATTATAATCCCCAATGTTGGAGGAGGGGCCTGGTGGGAGGTGACTGGATCATGAGGGCAGAGTTCTCATGAATGGTTTGACACCATTTCTGCCTTGGCACTGTATAGTGAGTGAGTTATCGTGAGATCTGGTTTTTTAAAAGTGTGTGGCAGATTATGAGGTCAGGAGTTTGAGAGCAGCATGACCAACTTGGTGAAACCCCGTCTCTACTAAAAATACAAAAATTAGCCTGGCGTGGTGGCACATGCACCTGTAATCCCAGCTACTCAGAAGGCTGAGGCAGGAGAATCACTTGAACCTGGGAGGTGGAGGTTGCAGTGAGCTGAGATAGTGCCACTGCACTTCAGCCTGGGTGACAGTGCGAGGCTCCCTCTCAAAAGAAAAATAAACATAAAAAGAAAAGAAAGATTTGCATATTTTACAGAACATGATGATATTCTATATTATGTTGGCAACTTGGTCTTTATTAAATTAAGTTCATGAAAAACATTCCATTAAAAAAGCCAGAATGCAAGCTACACAAATGAGAGAAAATACTTGCGATACATGTATCTGACAAGGGACTCCTATTCAGATTGTATAAAGAAATCCTTCAAATCAATTAGACAAACACAATTCACAACAAACTCAAAGTTGGGAGAAGAAAAGTGGAAAAAAGAGTTGAATAAACATTACACAAAAGAGAATATTCAAACATCCAAAACCTATACAAGACAGTGCTCAAGCTCATTGGCATTAGAGAAATGCAAATCCAAATAATCATGACATATTACTACATATACAGAAAGAAAGGCTAAAATCCTCCCGCAAAAAGAAAAAAAAAAAAAGAAAAGAAAAGAAACCTTGACAATATCAAAGATTGGCAAAAATGTTAACACTGGAACTCTCATACACTGTTTTTTAATTTATTTATTTAGTTAGTTTTTTATTCAATTTTTTTGGAATCCCAGTGGTTTTTGGTTACACGGATAAGTTCTTTAGAGGTGAATTCTCAGATTGTAGTGCACCCACCACCCAAGCAGTGTATACTGTACCCAACATGTAGTCTTTTATCCCTCACTCCCTCCCAACTTTCCCCCACCACTGCGAGACCCCAAAGTCCATTATATCACTCTAATGCCTTTGTGTCCTCATAGCTTAGCTCCCACTTAAAATTAAGAACATACAATATTTGATTTTCCATTCCTGAGTTACTTCATTTAGAATAAAGGCCTCCAGCTCCATCCAAGTTGCTACAGAAGA